GTGGCAATCACCTGTAAGAATGCGTTGCTTCTAGCAGTTACAGAGCCAGTTTGAGCTGCAGGCCCCATGCAGGGCTGGCCCAGAGAGGCTCAGTCTGGTCTCCACCCTCCACTCCAGATGGGCAGAGTTGTTGGGCTGCGCCCATTCCTAGCACAGCCACACTGGGCACTGTCAATGGCTCACACACTGTCGACACACTGGGAGCTGTTCCTCCGGCCTGGGGCTCAGATGACCGTGCTGAAGTTTCAAAGTGGAGCCTTCTGGGACAGAGGGTGGGGGCCTGAGGATTAAGCCAGGCAGCACAGTGGAGGCCTGCAGAGTGCTGGCGACACTACAGGTCCAAGGACACGTGGTTCAGGGTCAGCGGGCACACCGAGGGAGACGCAGTCGGACGCCAGAGGAGCCTGAAGGATGAGTTTTGCTTTGAGATTTTTCACCTCCATGTGCCTTAGCTCTGCCTCTGGGTGGATCAGAGAGAAACCAGTGGGGGATATGGCATCAGACCAGGGTTTCCACTCCTCTGGCCATGCTTAGCCGTGTGGCCTTACACGTGACCTCCCCTCTCTGTGCCCCGAGCTTGCTCATCTGCGTAGTGAGAGAGAGACAGCTGCTGTCCAGGGGCCTCCAACGCCTGGCGGCCGTCCCCCTCATAGCTGGCAGGTCCTGTGTCATTCCCTCGGAGCTGGCAGGTCTAAGTCCATCCCTGTGGTGGGTGGGCTTGCCGCCCATCTCAAGGAGGGTGTCCTCACCTGTCTGGCCTCACTGACGTTCTCCCCCAGGACCAAGCTCTCCCGTTCTCCCCCAGGACCCAGCTCTCCCGGCAGCAAGCCCAGAGCAAGCGTGCTGAACAGTATTCAGCGTGTTTCGGGAGCTTCTCATCGGCTGACGAAAGGGGGGCCCTTGGGCCTTTCTTCCTTGTCTGGCTCAGCCCAGCAGCTCCACTGAAACCTGTCCTCCATGGGCGACCCTGCAGGTGGGTGAGCCGCCAGGGGCATAGCTTCCGGCATCACAACAGCACACAAGCTGACAGATCACAGCTGCCCCACAGCACACTGACAGGTGGGGGTGGGGGTGGAAGTTCTCCCTCCAAGCTGTGATGACATGAGAACATGGATGTAAACTGGGCCGCAGGTGACAACATGGTACCTGTGGGATATGCATGGCCTCCCTGTGGCTCTAACACACGGGCACAGCGTCCGATACGCTCAGCACCCCTCAGGGGCAGGAATGGTGTTAGCACAGCTAAGGACCAGCCTGGGGGACTTTTGTGGCCCCCTCACTCAACCTCCCATGGTGCAAGATGTATGATGACCTGCCTGGGCTGGGGTCTTCCCTCACTGGCCATGTGGCTGGGGGCCACTGCTGCCCCAACCCTTGCTCAGACGTGTGGGGACTCGGTGACCGATTATCACCATCATATAACTGCCCTGTGCCTAGATGCTGGGATTGGGGCGGGAGTTCGCCAAACCATATTGTCAAGACTCAACGCTACCCAGAATCCCCCAAAATAAAAAGCCAAGAGAACAAGATGGTGGGTAGGTGAGACAAAGCAACCACCACCTTAGGAATAAGACACTAGCTGTAGAGAAAGCTTGAAAAGGCTCCACTGTAACCTGGTTTCCATTTGATTTGGTGCACTGGGGCGGGGTGGTGGTGGTGGTGTTTGGGGTGGAGGGTGGTGGTGGGGTGTCTGGGGAGGGGCATGTTCCCTCGGGAATGGAAGCTCAGCCTGAGTCCTCTCCAGATCGGATGTTGGTGTTTAAACAGAACCTCCATCAGGTGTTTGTTACCTGGAATCAGGCTCTTAAGATATTAAACGTGGGGCCAGAGGAAAGTAAAAGGAAATAGAGGAAAGAACTAGGAGACCAAAGACATTTATAGAGGAATAAATATAGGCATGTATATATGTACATATATTAATATATAATGATACGGATATAGGTCAATGTACATATATTTATATGTTAAGTATTAAGGTAGCAGACAGATATTGGCCTCTCTTCAAGTGCTCACTCAATGCAAGGGCACTTTGTTCTAACCTGGCATTCTGTGTGCTCACCTTCCTGATACGATCGCTGAAAACAAAATGGGTGCATATGCAAATATGGTGAAGGAAGATTAGGGTGCCCGGCTATTAAAGATCTCTAGCAAATGGGGTCTTAAAGGCTTGAAGGTAAACAAGCGGCCATCTAGCAGGGAAGCAACAAAGCCCACATGGAAGAAGCACACCAGCCTGTGTGATCATGAGGTATCAACAGGATCAGGTATCAGGCATTAGAAGATACAAAACAAACAATCATACAGATGTGAACGAGGTGGGGCCGGAGTGGAGACCCAAAGCCCATCTGTAGACAATTGGATATCCCCTACCATAGAACAGTTTCAAGGAAGGAGCATAGCACCAATGAAATACACAACATTCCTCTAGTTCTTTAATGCTGCTTCTCCCCCCACCCTCACTATTATGACCTCATTCTACCTTACAAATCCACTAGGCTGGAGCATGTACATTGGTACAGATAAGAGCTGTCAACACACAAAATCCAGGACAAATAAACCCATCAGGAGCAATAATGGGAATAGCAGTACCATGAGGGTAGGGGGAAGGTTTGAGGAAATGGGGGAGAAAGGGGGAACTGATCGCAATGTTCGACGTATAACACCCCCAAGGGGGATGAACAACAGAAATGTCGGTGAAGGGAGACAGCAGATGGTATAAAATTTGAAAATAATAATTGATCAAGGGTTCACATGGGTGGAAGGGGTGGGGGGAGGGGAAAAAAAGAGCAGCTGATACCAAGCACTCAAGTAGAAAGAAAATGTTTTGAACATTTGAAATGATGGGGGGAGCGGGGAGGGAGGGGAAAAATGAGGACCTAATGCTGGGGGCTTAAGTGGAGAGAAAATGTTTTGAGAATGATGTACAAATGCGCTTTACACAATTGATGTGTGTATGGATTGTGATAAGAGTTGTATGAGCCCCTAATAAGATGATTAAAAAAAAGAAAGAAAATTAAAATGATGATGGCAACACATGCACAAATGTGCTTGATATAATGGATGTATAGATTGTTATAAGAGCTGCAAGCGCTCCCCACCAAATAAAATAATTTATTTTTTTAAAAAGATAAGAAAAAGATGTTGTTAAACTTCCAAGCCAATGTTTAATCCAGGTATGGCAGTTGTCAAAGCCCCCAGGTCTGACTGAGGTAGCCATGGACGCCCAGCCCCGTCCACTTGCATGCACCATCACTGAGGAATGTGCAGTGCCCCGCCTTAGGAGTGCGGAGGGCGAGAGCAGGCAGGAGTGGGAGGTGAGCTGGAGGGTAAGCATGTACTCCAGCATCAGGAATGCACAGGGAGTCAACTCAGACCAGCCTGGTCAGTGCTCAGCGCACGCCCAGGCCACCCTGCCAGGACCCGTTCTCCCTCAGAAGCATTGCCCACAACCTTCCCCTCCCATGCCTGGCCTCGAGATTCACACAGCCACCCTGACACCCCAAGATTTTCCCCAGACAGAAACAAACTTCATCCCACCCCACGGTGACCCTGTAATACAAGGGAGAAAGGCCCCAGTGCATGCTGGCACTGTTCACTCTTTATGGGAGTAGACAGCCTCATCTTTCTACCCTGGAGTGCCTGGTGTTTTCCAACGACTTACCTATAGTTAGTAGCCCAACACATAACCCCTACGCCGCCAGGGCTTCACTGTTAAGCGCCATCAAATTGGTCCTGGCCCCTAGAGGTTCTCTGTTCAGCAGGGCCACCTCACATTAAACGGACAGGCCCTGGGGTCTGGCTGACTGCACTTGCTGGGAGGACGCCCAAGACCCGTGTCCTCTTCCCTGAGATGGGAGTGATGGCGGCACCTTCGTTCGCTGCAAGCATAGCTGAGTATCTGGCACCTGGACTGTTGGCTGCTAAGTGGGCCAGGGGAGCAGGCCTCACGCTGCTAGGGGTCCCGCTTTCTCTCTTCAGATTGTCTGAGCTAGCTGAAGCCGAGGGCAGGAAACCGGCTTTTGGTTCAACAGAGCAAATAATCTGCTCAAGTAATTACAGGCTTGTCTTTATTTTCACTTATAACAAGGAGGACGGGATGACGGCATTGCTAAACAACACACCTCCCCACCTGACCGGACTCTTTGGGAGCACAGGCGGAGGGGCTCTGGGCTCAGGCGGTGCGCATGCGCCAAACCAGAAAAGGGCCGGTGCACAGCCGCAGAGAGCAGTTCTGGGTGCACAGTTCGGGCACTTCAGGTTTAAGCAAAAGCACGTGACGCCGCCGATGGCCGGGTGGAGAGAACCCGCTTTCCTTGTTGTGATGCCATGGTGACCAGACTGGCAGGCACGGGGGGTTGGGGGTGGGTGGGGTGGTTCCTGCTTCCCCTCAGCCCTGAGCACCTGGCTTCCTCCTGTTCATACTGAGTCACCTTCCCCTGCCCAGATGGCTTCGTGCCAAGAGAGTACGTATAGCCCCAGTGGCCCTCAGCCCAGACTGTTCCACGGGCCACCTGGTCTTGGCCTGGCTGGGGGTGGATACGGAGACCAAGGGTGGCTGTAGCCCAGAACCCCCCTGCTCCTCCCTGTGGACACATCTTTGTCACCGTAGCAGTCAGCCTAGTGCAGGGGCCATGCCAGTCACCAGTTGGGTCAACTCCACACATGGCAGCCAGGTGGGAGAGAGGAGACCAGAGCCCCACGGGGACTGCAGTGGTGGACTGCTCAGAAGTTGATTGCCAGGCCTTTCGGGGGTCCAACCCTTCAGCTGTTCGCCTAGCTGCTGAGCTCCTGGCCCTGGGCGCCATCCTCGGGGAGGAGGAGGCCTCAAGCTGAGGATCGGGTGGGTGCTCAGGCCACGGGGCTTGGAGGGCTTCAGGAAATGCAAATCGAGAAATGGCTTGTGCAAGAGAAGCCCCCGCCGCCCCTGCCCCCCACACTCCTGCCACCACCACCTTGGAGACAAAGCCCCACAGCTCATATGATACGGTGCCGTCACTTACCCAGGGCGCCTTGGCAGATGTCTGTGCGTGTGGCTCCGCCCACAATGAACTGGGGATCCGCGCAGATCTCCTGGGAATGAGAACCACAAAATGCTGTCAGCTCACCTGATGCCTTTTCCCCAGGGCCACGCTGGGGCAAGTCCTGCAGTCTGGGCCAGAATCCCGGCCAAGGGTCCTTGGCGTCCTTCCCCAAGTTCCCTTGAGGACAGTCCTCAGGCCACACCGTGCTTCCATCTGCTTCCTCCTCATCGTGGCTGCGACCTGACCAGACCCCCGCCATATGGAGCTGCCCCACCTCTCCTCTGCTCCCAGGTCTAAGTTGTTCTGTCAGCATAGTGTCTCCCTCCTCCCTCCCCTGCCATGCCTGCGGCCCTCCACTCTGACTCACAGTCATCCTACAGGACAGAGCAGAGCTGCCCTCTAAGGTTCCAAAGCTGTAATCTCATCTTTATGGAAGGAAACTATCTCCTCGTTTCTCCTGGGGAGCAGCTGGTGTGTTTGAACCATCAACTTTGTGGTTACCCGCCAGGCGCTTAATTGCTGCACCACCAAGGCTACCGTTCTAGGTTTCACCATATTTCAAAACTATTCCTACCTCATCCCTGAAACCCGTTACAGCCCAGCCCTCTAGAGTAGTTAGTTGTAACCCTGCAGCTTAGTCCTTAATTGTGGACAGTCTTGGGGTGCCCCGGGGTTGTTGAGGGGAGAGGGCTGCTTTTGTTGGCTGCTCTGGAATCAACCCCTGACCCCATGCACAGTGGGGCAAAATGCTGCCCGGTCCTGCACCATGCCCATGATCACTCGCTGGCTGGACCTTCTTATCTGTAGGGGTTCTTTTCACTGGCTGATTTTTTCAGAAGTAGAACACCAGACCTTTCTTCCTTGTCTCCCAGCTGCATGGAAACCTGTTCAGCATCAAGCCTTCACTGGCAAATGTGTGGCTGTGCATGAGAAGCATAGGCCAGGAGTCAAACCCGAGGCCTCTTCTGGGGTGGAAGGGTTAGCCACTTGACTTCACTCACAGACCCTAACATACCACTGGACTTGGCACCCCTGCTGCCTGGCCCACTGTGTGCTTGGTGCCTCCAGAAACATCAGATGGGCTTGATCTCCCCTTCACAGGGGAGGGGGGAGACATGAGCGCCCCTTCGCAGGGACACAGAGCATGAGTGAGCAAGCCCTGAGCCCACTGGTCTTGGCATGAACACACACGCGCTCTCCGCTCCTGCACGGCCTCTCACTGATCCCCCAACAAGTCTCTGAGCCTATGAGAACCACAGGGCCATGGCCCCACAGGCAGCCCTTTCTGGGTGTGTCCCCAGGTCTTCTCCAGTTCACCCCAAAGCCACAGAGGAAGCCGGGTACAAATGGGGCTTGGTTTGCAGGAGCTGATTTTTACATCTCGTGTCTCCTCTGAGCACTGTGGATGGGGGCCACCGCCCCTTTGCACCTCTGCTGTGGACAGCAGAATGGAGAGTGTGTGCCATGCGTTCCCTGCAGAAAGCACCTGCAGGGCCTCGCACCTAGGCTGTACTGTCTCCACACTGCCTGTCTCCCTGCTCAGGTTAGCGGGCTCGGGAAAGGATGGACAATGAGGAGGCTTCTCTGTCGTGCAAGGCCTGCCCAGTCAAGCACTTACCAGACTGCTGGAAGAGAAGGGCCTCTTTATTGTAATCATACGGACAATGCTCAATGTGCTGAGCACTCACCAAGAAGGATTTTTCCATGATGTTTTGGAAAGTCTCCCCTGCCTCTGGCAGCCTCCCCAGAGGAGTCAAAGTTCAGCGTGCCCTGCAGGCAGGGCTGCAGCAGAGAGCTGAGCATCGCTCTCTGTGGTGGGATGGGCCTGCCAGGGGGAATGGGCCGAGGGCTTGGGCTTCACATATAACTCTTGCCTCTACCACTTGGTACGAGGGCTCTCTATGCCTGGGCAAGTTACTTAATGAACCTTTTTTAGCCTGTTTCTTCATCTGAAAATTTGAAGATGACAAATGTACTTATCATTTGTGGGGGTTGTTGTGGGGTTAAAATAGGAAACTATGTAAACAGGCCTTGGTAAGCACTCCACAAATGTGGTCCGTTGTTATCGTTATAAAAGAAGTTGATGAGGCTCTCATTGAACTTGGAAGTGCAGGTTTGAGGTGGAGATCAGACAGCTAAATAGAAACAAGCCACCAACCTCCCAGAGGCTTGGTCCCCTCTGGAGGGAAATGAGGACTAATGATACCTGCCCTTGCTCCTCTGCCCCTGCCTGTCAGTGTGACCCACCATGGTGGCTTCTGAGCCGCTGTGACACTGGAAACTTTGCCAGGGGTATTTCAAACACCAGCAGGGTCACCCAGCGTGGACAAATGCCAGCAGTCCCTTCAGACTAGGTAGAAAGGCCTAGAGATCTACTTCTGAGTTAGCTCATGAAACTCCTATAGATCACAACAGAATACGGCCTTAGATCCTGCTGGAAGATGATACCCCCGTCCCCCAAAGGTTGGACTCAAAAACCTCAAATGCATTGCCACTGGTCCCAGGCCGACTCACAGCGACCCTATAGGACAGGGTAGAACTCTCCCTGTGGGTTTCTGATTCGGTAACACTTTATGGAAGTAGAAAGTCCTGATGTTATCTGAGGAACGGCTGGTGGTTTTGAACTGCTGACCTTGGGGTTAGTAGCCCAACTTGTAGCCACTCTTCCACTGGGGCCCCTCTCAAGTTGGAAGGCACTCGTAATACACAGTGGCCACAAAAATTCACTTGAGCAGCCCAAAGACCGTGACAAATGCCAGAACTGGTTCCACCTGGGAACACCAGGAGTTGGTGGAGCCTTGATAGCAACTAACAACACGCCCTTGCTCCTGCCTGAGAAGAGCTGGGAGGATCAGGTGTGCCACCTGAGGACCAAGCCAGCTCCTTCCCCTCACTGTGCCCTGGCACCGGGACTTCCCTCACCACGGCCTGGGCCATTTTCTGGTGTATTCCCCTTCCCAGTCCGTCACCACCCCCTCCTCAGTGCTGTGAACCCCCTGCGCCTTCACCACCCCCTCCTCAGTGCTGTGAACCCCCTACCCCGGAGTGTCTTTCTGGTGTTTTCTGCCAAGATCTATCTAACAACAGTAATGATATCCCTTGTTTCATGTCCTCTTCTGAATGCAGCTTGAATTTCTGGTAGCTCTCTGTTGATGCACTGCTGTAATCAGTTTTGAATTGTCTTCAGCAAACTTCACGTGTGTGTAATGTAAATGATTACACGTGCGTGTAATGTAAATGGTGATTTCTGCATTCTGCCAGATGATCTTTTTTTTGGGAATGGGCACAGACAAGGATCTTGTCCGTCAGTTGCCCACAGTGGACAATACATGGCATGGTAGGTGACCCCACGCTGTCTGCAAGCTCAGCAATCTGAATACATCAGCTGTTCCCTGGGGGAAAGACGAGGCTTTCTACTCCCATAAGGAACTGCAGTGTCAGAAACTCCTAGGGGCATCTCTACTCTGTCCTACAGGGTCTCTGAGTCGGAACTGACTGCACGGCAGTGAGAACAGAGCGGCCCTAAAAGTGGTAGGGGCTAGGGATTGATTGATAGAAAATGTACACCTGGCTATTCAGGTGTTATTGTGAGGTGCTGTCGGGTCCACTCGGACTCACAGTGACCCCATCTACAACAGAACTGTTCAGTAGGAAGAAGACATATTTATAGTTATGACTTATAACTCGTGAACTTGCTATGAAGCAAACTAGCAGGGTAGAGCAATTGAGAAACAATAACAAGGTGGGGAGAAAGGCCGCTACAGCTGGTCAGGAAAGGCCTCTTTTGGAGAAGGGATGTTTAACTAAGTCCCAAAGAGTGAGACTCTGGTAAGCCAACTCCAGATGGCCAGGGAAGAGTATCCCGGGGGGCAGGGGAGAGAAACTGGGGCTTAAAGGTCTGGGCCCACTGAATAAACTGCAGGGAGCTTTTCCAACGGTTGGGTCTGGTGAGTGAGAGGAGGAAATATTTAGTCACCACTCCCTGTTTCAGACCAAGGACTGGAGGCACCGGGCGGTTAAATGACTCACCAGAGTCACTCACTAGGGGTGCAAGGAGGAGAACCCAAGTGCTCTAGGGCTGGCCCAGGGCAGCCAGAACCACTCTAGCAGCCTGTGGTGTAGACCTGGCAGGCAGAGGGGAGTGGAGACAGGGCAGGAGAGCCCCTGCTCACAAGGCTCCGTCAGGAAGCCTCCCTGGAGCTCAGGACTGTCCCATAGGGGCGGGGGCGGAAACAGAACGGACCATAAGATTTGGAAGCAGAACTTGTTGCAAAGTCCCCCGGGGCTAGTGAAGGGAACTGAGAGGTCCCCCAGGTAAGGATTCTAGGTAGTGGCCTGAGGACAACAAACGCAGTCCTTTCTGGAGCTCTCCCCGGCCACCTGCCTTGCATGTCCCTTATTAATCATCCATGTACAGCTTATGGGGAGGATTGCGAGCTCCCATTTGTGAAAAGAAGCAGCAGCTCTCATAACTAAAAGCACAAAGCGAACCAGGCTGTGTGGCCTTTCCCCTTCCCTGGAGTGGGCAGTGCCATCCGAGACCGACTTGTCCTGCCTCAAACCCTGCTTTTCTCGCGGCAGACTCGGTTCCGCCCAATAAAAGTGCACCCCCACCCCCGCCTCGTCTTGGAGTTTTTGTTCAGCCCAAAGGCTGCTCTGCCAGCAGCGAGCCTGTTTGGGGGAGTTGAGGGTAGTGACCGGGCCAGTGGCTGAGGCACGGGGTGGGGGGCACGACAACAGTACATATGGCCCGCAGACCCCTCGCCCAGGCCACTGGGCCCCTCCCCGCCCTGGGCTCCGAGTAACGGGGCGCGGCAGCGGAGGGCGTCGCCTCCAGGCCCGCGGCCCCCGCCTGCACCCCGACCCGGCCCGGCTGCTCTCCTACCGTGGGCCGCTTCCACTCGATGCCCCGGGTTTTGCTGGAGTAGGGTCCCAGCTCCTTGAAGCCCAGCGCGGCAGGGACGGCAGGGAAGGAGGGGTCCTGGAAGAGGGTGCCGGCCTCCAGGCATTCGTCCCGCAGCGCCTCGTAGTCCTGGTTGAGGTACTTGATGGCCCGCTCGTGGGAGCCCACCCCGTCGGCCGCCTCCCGATCCCGCGCCAGCCGGGCCGCGACTCCAGCCATGCTGCTGCTTGCTGCTGCCGGTGCTGCCGGTGCACTGCGGCGAGCGGCGGCCGGCGGTGATTCACGCAGCGGGCCGCGCCGGGCGCCCGCTGGGTGTGGCCTCGGCGCTCCCGGCCTGCTCGGCGCGGCCCGGGACGCTGCGGGCGCGGAGGCGCAGGGTGCCGGCCGGTCCGGCGGCGGGGCTCCGGGCCTGTGCTGACCCCTGCCGACGATCTCGGGGTAGCGCAGACGCCGGCGATGGAAAAGGGTGACTCAAACCAAACTTGCCAATTTCCCTGCTCTCGGGAAGGAAGGCTGGTGCGAGAAACCCACCTGAGGACAAACCAATCTGTCTTGGAAGGAGTGCGGTCAGCGTGCTCCTTAGAGGTCACGGTGGCGAGACTTTGTCTTGCATGGCACTTTGGACATGCTGTCAGGAGGGATCCGTCCCCGGAGAGGATATCACGTTTGGTCACGGAGGGGTAGTGAAAACGAGGGAGCCCTCCGGAGCTGGAGGGACACCGTGGTTGCAGCCATGCACTCAGGCTCAGGAACAGTTGTGACGATGGCGCAGGACGGGGCAGTGGTTCCCTCTGTTGTGCATGAGGTTGCGATGGGAGGGACCAACTGGTGGCACCTAGCAGGAAAGCATTCCGTGAACCACTAGCACCGTGGTCCTCCACCTTCCGAATGCCACCACCCTTTAATACAGTTCATCGTGTCGTGGTGACCCCCCAACCTTAAAATTATTTTCCTTGCTACTTCATCACTGTCATTTTGCTACTGTTATGAATCGGGCGACCCCTGTGCAAGGGTCGTGCGACACCCCGCCCCCCAGGGGTCGAGACCCACAGGGTAAGAACCGCTGCACTAGAGGATCAGGAAGTGTAGTCAAGACGAACAGACTGCTACCCCTGAGCCCTGCTTTGTGCCAGATTCCGTCCTAAGAGCTCTAGCACACGTGTCATCTCATCTACTCCTATGAGCCCCATTTCACAGATGAGAAAACCGAGGAGCGGGAGGTTAAATGGCATTACCTAATGTCACAGAGCCAATACAGGCGGAACAGAGATTTCAAGATACCTAAACCAAACCAAACCAAAATAGAAAACAACAAACCAGTCCCACTGCTGAGAGTGCAACGGCACGTGAGATGCCCGGCACGTGGCACAGGTATATAAGTGCTCAGCTACTCACAGGGAGATTATATGTTTGTACAACTTTCCTCTAGTTCTTAAATGCACCCTCCCCCACTCTCATGATCCCAATTCTACCTTACAAATCTGGCTAGACCAGAGGATGTACACTGGTACAGATAGCAACTGGAAATACGGGGAGTCCAGGGCGGATGATCCCTTCAGGAGCAGTGCTGAGAGTGGTGATACCAGGAGGGTGGAGGGAGGGTGGGGTGGAAAGGGGGAGTCGATTACAAGGATCTACATATAACCTCCTCCTTGGGGGACGGACAACAGAAAAGTGGGTGAGGGGAGACATCGGTCCATGTAAGACATGGGAAAATAATGATTTATAAATTATCAGGGGAGAGGGAAGGACAGTGAGGGAGGGAGGGGATAAATGAGGAGCTGATACCAGGGGGTCAAGTGGAAAGAAAATATTTTGAGAATGATGAGCGCAACAAATGTACACATGTGCTTGGCACAATGGATGGATGGATGGATTGTGATAAGAGTTGTATGAGCCCCCAATAAAATGATTTAAAAGAAAAAAAACAGATGGGATGTTTGAGTGTACCCCGAGGTGCCTCAGAAGAAAGGCCTGGTGATCATTGAAGCATCTAGAGTCCCCGGGAAGCAACTGTTTGGGGTTTTTTTTTTTTGTTGGTTCCCTTTTTTCCCAAGCAGTACCAGTCTGGTCAGGGAGTTCCCCAGCGTGGCTGGTCGTTAGAATCTCATTTGTTAAACATACAGATTCCAGACCTCACAATTGCAGTGCAGAGTCAGGATGTCCTTGGTGTTGAGAGACTGCTGCTGGAGGAGCTGGCGGAGCAGGGGCTGGGGAGCCGCTGAGCCCCCCACTGGCAGAGACGGCCTGGGCTGAGGGCTTGCTGGCCACTGGTATCAGTCCACACTCTTTTTCAGCCGCCAGAGAGTCCTTTCCGCTTTCAGTTCTGCCTTGGCTTTGGACAGCCTCCCACCCAGGTCATGAGGGGTTGCTATATTTCAAAGGACTGATTGCTCGGCCCCTCAAAGGTGGTGAGGGCACTTCCCCTCGCTCCCTGCATTTTCAATGTCCACGACAGGAGGAGGAGTCTCCGGTGGGTTTCATTCGGCCATCATAGTTGAAGAACCGAGCCTCTTGATCTAAATTCCCCACAAACTGAAGACACCCCCACCCACCCACCCAACTCACTGCCATTGAGTCACAGCAACCCTATAGGACAGGGTAGAACTGTCCCTGCGACTATCCAAGACTGCCCTCCTTTACGGGAGTAGAGCGCCTAGGCTTTCTCCCGCAGAGCAGGCTGGAGGTTTCAAACTGCTGTCCACTACGCCACCAGACATCCAGACACCAGGCATCCCGTTTCCACACAATCAGCCTGTCGTTTGAGGGTTTTGCCCCTGGTTTACCAATGGGTGCTCTCACACACAGCTGGCTCTCCCGTCATGGCCCCCTGCCTCCAGATGTGTGTCTGGGAACGAGGCCTGGTGGCCAGGCCTGCTGCCCTGCTGCCCTGCCAGTGCGGCCACACCCGCGGGTGAGAAGAGCAACCGAACATTCGCTTTGAGCTTCTCTTGGTGTCGAGGTCTTCATGCAATGGCCACGGTGGGAACAGAGGAAAGAGCAGTCCTTTCTGTTTCTGTCTCACTGCCCCATTTCCACAGGGTCCCGCCCCAGCTTCTCCGGGGCTGTGGTCCCTGAGGAGAAAGCTTATTCACTGGCCAGTGTGGGCGCCGAGCTTTCTTTCCAGAGTTCTCCTCCCAGGCTCCTTCCCAGAACAGCTCATCCCTGGAGGAAGAGCCTGCTTCCGGGAAGGTGGCTAGGGTCCCCTCCCCAATCCACTGAGCAACAGAGGAGCAGGACCCAGCAGACATACCACCTCAGTCTTGCCCTGCACCCTGCAGCCCTGGGGCAGGGGAGCCTTCTAGCTCACCCTGAACTTCCTCTTCCCTGCCTGCGTAAAGCCCTAAGGGTGTGGCAGCAGCCCTGGGGGAGGCAAATCCGCCAACCTCTGGGCATGCTGCGCACTTGAAGGTCCGAGGCTGGCCCGAGCTACTAACATCTATTTGCAAACACACAATTTTTACCGTCCCCACGGTGGAGGTAAAGTCTAGGTTTTGAAATGTCATGCTCTTACATGGTAAATCTCACGGGGTCAGCCAAGTCCCTTTCTCAGGGACACACAGGCACAGACAGTCACACCCACCACTGGCATCTTGAGGAGGAAATCCTTCCTGCACTGAGTCATGGCACCGGAGAGTGTGTGAGTCAGAAGCAGCAGGGATTGGGCAAAAACACTGGCCACAGCCCTTTGTTCCAGAGTGGTAACAGATGGGTCTGTGCCTCTGGGGCCTGGGCAAGGGAATCCTTTTTGTAGCATTTTTCTTTGCGTCACTTTTCTCCCAAGGAAAATAAGGCGTCTAGGCCCACTCTGGAGCCCTGGTGTTGTAGTGGTTACATAGCAGACTGCTAACAGCAAAGTCCGCAGTTCAAAACCACCAGCCCCTCCGGGGGAGAAAGAAAGGGCTTTCTACTCCAGTAAATAGTTACCATCGCAGAACTTCACAGGGGTAGTTCTCCCCTGTTCTATAGGGTTGCTATGAGTCAGAACAGACTCCACAGTGAGTGTGGCCCATGCTAGGATAGTGGAGGTTCCGTCCTAGAACTTTCTGCTCCCATGAGCAGAGCCCGGCTTGGTGCCTGGCCAGTACACACTTGTACAGTCACTGATGTCCGTCTGTGGTGGCTTGGGTGTTGCTGTGGGGCTGAACAGGTTTCAGCAGAGCTTCCAGACGAAGGGAGACCAGGAAAGAAGGCCTGGTGATCTTCTTCTGAAACAGCAGTAATCCTAGGGATTCCACCAGTCCAATCTGCAACCAAGTATAAGGGGGACACAGAACTGGGCAGTGTTTTGCTCCCCTGTGCCTGGAATCAGGGTGCTCTTGAGTCAAGGCTGACCCCATGGCAGTTCATCCCAGGCCCTGATGTCTGAGACATATCAGGGATGCCAGCTGCAGGTGCCGAGTGAATAATGGAAGCTCCCTGGTGCTGGGCACCCAGTGCAAAGCTATGCACCCATTTGCACATTTCCTCCTCCCTGTGAGTCCCTGGAAGCTTCAGCCCTGTGTTACAGATGTAGGAGAGGAGCTTTGGGGAATGCAGCTGTCAGGTGGAAGAGACCCCTTGGTGTTAAAATCCTAGACCACAGACCTCCTGGGCTCATCCCTCCTGGTTCAGGAGGGCCAAGAGGGCACACCAGTGCGAAGCTCCGGCCAACATCTTGCAGGTCTGAAAGCCGTGTCCCAGGAGATCCGAGAGCGTGAGTGCTCTGGAAAAGGATTATGCTTGACAGTAGATTTCTTTCTCTTTTTTTCTCCAACGGTTTTATTGGCACATGATTCACGTATCGCACAATTCCTAGTTCAGTCACATCAAGAAGAGCTGCATGGTCACCACCACCGTCAGGTTTAGAACCTTTTCTGCATTCTTGCACTCTTCCTTATGAGCTCCCCAGTTCCCCCGTCTCCCCTCCCAAATCCCCAAAGAGCCATTCAGCCAGCCACCCTCTCTCTATAGATTTACCTATCCTGCATTTCATAGAAAAGCATTTAAAAAAATACTAACCACAGGTCCATGCCAGCTGCCCAACCCCGGGCAGGTTTTCCGCTCTCCTCCTCTGCGGAGTCACAATTCCAGACCCAAACGGAAAAACAAAAATGGTCGACCTCCCCCAACTAGCTGAGAATGAGCTCTTCGTGCACCTTGCCTCCTACATGACTGTTCTTTCGAAAATAATGCTCACAAGTGCTGCACGTGCGTGCTATGGAGTGACAGGCAAGGTT